CGTGTGCGCAGTTGCGGCCAAGTAATTCGAGTACATATTCAAACGATAGTTTCTTCGACGCGCCGATATGTGATATATGAGATCGCGCGCGGCCTGCACTAATATATAATGCCCGAGAGGAATCATGATGGATAGTTGCCAGGGAGGTACGGAACACCACGAGTGTACGTGGGCACGTAACCTGACAGAAATGGCGCGATGCACAATAAACGCATGTTTCCAATAAAACGTGTAGAGGGAAGGAGGGAGAGCAACTAGATCTGTATTTTATTTGCATTTGAAGTCGATAACTAATCGAATTATTATTAAGGACACACGCGTATATAATATGTCTTGGCACTTTTGAGGTGACGACCAAAAAAAAAGGTAAAACACATCTCGCACCTCCCTGATTCGAGCGAGCAGATAAAGCATCGAAAAATTACATGTATAGCTCGAGATAATTATTCGTGCTGCATTAAAATAAAAAAAAAACAAGATGGCAGATGCTCGACATTCCTCAAATACTGCGAGGTATCAATGTACAATCAGCCGTGTGATTTAATAATAGAGCAACAAAGTCTCGTCGTTCATTCGGGCTAAAAGACCGAAAAAATTCAGATTCTTATCCGATTCTAGAGCCCAGCCATATTCCGTAGGCGAAAGTTTCAGTTGTGCTCCCTAAACTGCGTGTCCGGTATGTAAAATACGATCAACGTGTAGGTACCGTCGTCCAAAACGACCTCCATAAAAGGTGTACATAAAGACAAGGGGTGAGTTGTATACGGGACGGAAATTCTCGAAGAGACTCTGTATAAAGTACGGACAACGTATTATGTGTAGTCTATATGTACGAAGCTCGAGAGGAAATTTTCGGAAATTCGCTACGGAGATTCGCTTTGCAGCCCTCATTAGATATGAAATTGCTTTTTTTATCGTGTCTATCAAGTGTCGCACTTGCGCACACGGAGGGAAACACCGAAGAAAGAGCCAAGAATCGAAGGCAATCGTCTTGAAGCATACCCCGTGTATATAATACATACCTCATTTGGAAGGACTTTAATCCAAAAAGTAAAATCACAAGCGATACGGAGCTATATAAGTGTTTGCTGTTAAAGCGAAGATTATTGCCGCAAGAGAAAAAGGAGATATTATACGCAGCTGCAGCGGTAGCAGCAGCGACAGCCACTCGGCCACACAGTCTGTAGTGCCTATATACTGTCCAGTAGACACATATAGATAAGAAAAAAGTTTTTTTTTCTTATGCAGCAGCGGCAGCGCAGACGAGGGCGAGAGATGTATAAGGCAAGCCCCGAGGGTGTCTCGCTCCGTCGAGAAGAAGATCATCTCTCTCTCTCCTCTCCTTCTCTCTGGCTAGCTTGACTCGTAATCCGAGGTGCCTCTTCGCGCAGAGCAGTACGTATCGCATATCCCATCGAAATCTTTCCTCGCTTTTTTTCCATTTTTCGCGCCTTGCCCCGCTCTGCTCGTCCGTACACTTTCGCTCTTCGATTTTGTTTTATTTTTGTCAATTATTTTTATGCAGAAAATACATTGTGAATCCTTTATTTTTGTTTGCACGACCATGTACCATCTTTTTATTTTGTTTTATAAATTATATGCCACAAAGTTTTATAATCGTTACTGTAAATATCCATAAAATCAGAAAGAAAATATATGTGGAAAATAATCCCGAAATACGTGTCATTATGTCAAAAAGTGTTTTTGACAAATGTTATCTTGATAAAGCTTTCAACAATTACGCACAGCCACAATCGGCTTTTTAGCGTCTATAAGCAGGAAATGAATACGAAACGATTTCACCTCTGCCGCGTTTTCAATTGAAAATCACGATAAATTTAAGGCTATAATACTTTTCCGAATAAATTAACAATATCATAAATAGCCAGCCATCTCTATCCACATAATACATATACGAGCATGTTTCGTTATTATTTTTACGCGCCCATACATTCGAGCCGTCAATGATATGTGTACGGCGTTATATTATTATTTCCCTCTCGCGCGATGTGTTTTATGAGTTTTGTGCCGCGCTCGAAATTCGATACATCGGCGATTCGTACATGTATTCTCGACGCGCGTAAATTAGATATTATTCGTCCGTTGCCGATGATGCTGCTGCGCCGAGCGCGCGATATTTTATCATAATTTTCGTAAAAACAATCTCGGGAATTCAAGCTCGGATCGATCTGTCACCGGGAATTATCGCACGCGCAGAAGAACTAAAAAAAGATGATTTCTTAAGCTCGAGAGGTTGCGAGCGTCAAAGAGAGAGAGAGAGAGAGAGAGGGCGGGGCTGCGATATACATAACACAATGAAAAGTCTAAAAAGTGTTTGTCTCTGAAAAACTCGCTGGGAGTTTACTCGAAGAAGGAGCCGCTAAGTCCAATTATTTACTCAAGTCAAATTCAAAGCAAGCGAATAATCTCGCTCCTCCTTTTGTACACTCGGTGCCTTTTCTTAGGTATCTCTCTATATATCTATAGATGCAAATGGCGCTGCTCCTCGTCCATTATCATCATCGTGTTGCAGAAAAATCCAATTACGCATGCAAAGTAGCCCAGTAATCAGTCGCGCTCCAGCCCGCAATACTCGACAAGAGCGCGCGCGCGAGAGGAGCAATTTATAACGAGATGAACAAAAGTTTCTCGTTGCCGAAACAAAGAAATGCAAAAGCCGCTGCCGCACTCTGGGGCTCAAGACAAGTGCCGAGAAAAGATTCCTTCGAGGAAATGTGTGTGTATAGTTATGCACCCGCACCCACAGCTAGCTCTGTATACGCGTATCCAAGAAATAAAGAGAGATAGAAGAGTATTCGCATTTCTAGCAAGAACAGCAGCAACAGCAGTAGGAGCAGAAGCAGGCGTTTGGAATGAGAGTAGGCAGCAGCAGCAACGGTAGTCGAATGGCAGTGGCGCAAGCGCCCCTAAGGCAACGACGACGACGACGTCGTCGCGCACATCGATTCCTCGCGGGGTTGAGAGAGAGAGAGAGAGAAAGAGCCGGAGCAAGCTAGAGCTTACAAAATGGCCGCCGGCGGCTGTTGCTGCTGCCACTGCTACTAGTGCTGCTGCCGTATATATTCTCTCCGTCTCGCGAAAGTGTTCCATATGCATACGAACAGCAGTGCATATTGCGGTCCGCACGCAGACTCCTCCGCACACGAGGCTCGCTCGCTCGTGTGTTTGTACTGCACTGGGCTGGCTGCTGCGCGCTTCGATGCACCCGATACATATGTTTTACGCGATTGCTGCTTGCCCCCCTCGCATCACTACCACTACTACCACCCTCACCACCCACCGGTTAGGTACGCACAATTATGCGCTCGAGTTGATTGCTCGCGATAGCCTCAAGACTTACATTGTTTTGAATGCGTCAAAGTAAATTTGAGAAGCAGTGTGTATAGATATAAAGAGAGCGAGATACACACGGAGCTCGATGAATAATTTGTACGCGAGATTCCGACTTGTTTCGTGATGTAATAGACTAATTAGATTTATATCACGAGGAAGCTGGAGACGAGCGACGTATAGCCGAGGTATTTTTGCCCAGCAATGGCAATTCAATGATCAGACTCCAAGGAGCATTATCGGTTCGGCTTCCATCCAAGCCCGAGCTCTCGCTTCGTTCTTTGTCTCGAGCTTTGCCGTGCACGAAATCGAGCTTTACCATGGCTCGTGTTAGCTGCACGCGGCTCCATGTGTATATAGTAGCATAGATATACGCGTACGTTACCATGTTATATACTCGAAGCGAGTGAGGGTGAGAGCGAGCTAGAGAGAGAGAAAGACAAGTACAACAAGCTGCAAGGAAATCGATGTACCTGCTAAGACACGTTGAGGCGGAAGAGCTAAGAGCTTCGCCAAGGCATTCGAGGGATGGAGAGAGAGAGAGAGAGAGTTGGAAGGACTGTGCGACTACTTCCAGGAAGGATGGATGGCTGCTTGGATGAAGAGAGAGAGAGAGAGAGTAGAAGCAGGCCAAGTTAGCGGCGTAGAAGAAATTGAATTATTAACCGGGCCAGAAGGTGCACGCTCGTCTACTCGTCTGTACCTCAGCTGGAACTTGGCTATACACAGTTATATTATACGTGCACGAGCTGCTGCTGCTGCTGTATACAATAAGCGAAGCTCGAGAGCTTCGAGGACGCTTGAGTAATATCGACCCAAGCGCCGCAAGTTCTCTCTTATATATGCCCAACACATCCTCAAGTCTGCCCGCGTATATAGCCGCATACATGGAGCTACTATATATGCGAGAGCGACGCTGTATAAGGTTTGCTCGTGGATCGGCTATAGCCTCCGCTCGACCGAGGAGAGAGCCAGAGAGAGAGAGACTTTGTAAGAAGTCAAAATATTAAATTGCTTATGGCTGGGATGTAAGGGAGCTTCTTTGGCTTGACTTAATTTTACACGGGCGGACGACGTTAAACTCTATTATCATTGTTCACCGCCCACGAGAAACTCTCCTCTCTCTCTCTCTCTCTCTCTCTCTCTCTCTCTGCTCTCTGCCTCTCTAAATGTATGCGCGACCGCTACATATACTACCTCCTACTGGGGTACTTATATATAGCTAAAAGCACGAGAAAAACTTTTCGAATCCAATTTCTTTTCCGCTACTACGGAGTTATTAAGTACACTTTTGCATTATCTCTCTCATGATTGTGGAAAGAGAGATATTATCCTACGCTGATTTATTTTACTTTGAAAATTGAGATTATGCAAAGAGGATTCATTCTGGGAATTTTAAATTATCAACAAATAGTACATATTGCTACGAGCTTACGGGATACGAATAGTATTTATTTGTGCCTTACAATAAAACGAAATTCTTGCGGTTGATATTTTATGCATCGATTAAGGAGTATAAGGTTTTTCACGATCACGACAACAATTATAACAGTTTGAAACACTTTATTTTTCTTCACAAAATTGAAAGATATGTATGCAAACATTTTTCTAAGATTACACAACTTTTTTATATGATTGCGTCCAAATGTCTCCACACAAATCACACTCTAATAGATTTTGCTAAGAATCATGTGCTTCATCCATGTGAGCTTTATAAGGTTTAGTTTTTTTCCAAATTATTTGTGGCAAATCTCATCTTCGAAGGGTTTGCTTCAATTATGTACGTTATTTATGTGATTTTTGAGCACATTCTGATATCCAAATGATTTATGACATATGTCACATTCGAAGAGTTTGCTACAATCATGCACTACACTCATGTGAGTTGTGAGGTGATTTTTGTATCCAAATGATTTGTGACAAATCTCACATTCGAAGGATTTGATCCGACTATGTACTCCATTTATGTGAATTTTGAGGTTTCCTTTTTGTCCAAATGATTTGTGACAAATTTGACATTCAAAGGGTTTGATACGATCATGTACTGATTTTATGTGAACATTGAGGTGACCTTTTTCTCCAAAGAATTTGTGACAAATTTCACATTTAAAGGGTTTACTCCGATCATGAATAGTATTTGTATGTTTATTGAGGTCACGCTTCTGCCCAAATGATTTGTGACAAATGACACATTCAAAAGGTTTGTTCCCATTATGTACTCCATCTATGTGAACTTTGAGGTTATATTTATATCCAAATGATTTCTGGCATATTTCACATTCATATGATCTAATGTGTGTCCTATTGATATTTGTTTTTAGAGTTGATTCTACTGTATAAGTTTTCGGAATTATTTGGCACTCATATTTTTTTTGAGAAGTTATTTCAAATAGTTTAACATCCTCGAATTCATGAAGGTTCATTTTGGACTTTTCGTAATTCGTCTGAATTGGGTTTTCTATTTTTACAATAGATGGACAACTCTGATACTCAGTCTTGAAGATGGTTGACGATAAAGCCTTCAATTCAGGTTTAACGTTTTTGCACTCAAACTGTATAGATATATTTCCATCTAACTTTTCGGGCAGCACAACTTCATTGATGTGATTTGCCTAAAATTAAAATTATGTAATAGTTTTTATAGTGGAGAAACAGAAAATAATTAAAATCATTGAACTAACTGATGATTTATAAAACGTGAATATTTCAACGTCTTTCACTTCGCAAGAGTGCACCGAATCAAAATTGTAATCGTCGCCTTCGGGCCAATTTGGCTCTTCTTTTACCCTATAGAATCAAATTTGATAAATTTATGGTTTCAAAAAATATTATGAAATAAGCATAACAATTAATACCTAAATGGGTCCTCTTTGGTTTCCATCTCTCACTTTATTTCTTTATTTTTTTTTATCGCTGTGAATTTTCACGATTTACACTGAGAAAATATTTTGAGGTTATATGCCTCACGTAGCCATTACTGTATTTTGAATGCACGAATTTTGTAAACACTTGCTCACTGAGAAATTCCTCGCCAGCGACTGTACGCACTACTGGAGATTAGCGAGGTGACCCCGCAATCGTGATAGTTCTTTGGCGATACTTTCCCCCACCACCATCGACTGGCTGAAGTAATGAAAATGTTATTCAACTAGGCCTACGTGTACAATAGTTGCAAAGAACACAACTTAGGATTCACACAAAAGAGAAATATATCTCTAAATGATACATAATACATGTACTAAAGTTTAGAAGAATTTAAATTTTGACAGTGGAAATACCTTTTCGCGTTAAATTTCTTAGCAACAGTTTCAAAGATAAAGGAAAGTACCAGTAATTTTTTTTCATTGGATATCATTCAAATTTGCAGAAATAATTACTCCAAATGGGTCTGAAGATTTTACTAAATAAAGATGTTACTAAATAAAGATAGATATGAGAAATAAAGAAAGACGGACGATTGCAGAAATGTTTTTAATTTGAGTTAGAAATTTAATGTATTTTGATAATATGATGATTAATTGCATTCGATATAATGATGATTATTTATAACTGAAAGTTCGTTTTTTTTTTCGTTTAATTTTTTTCATCGAAAAATTCGACTTTTTTAAGAATGAATTGAAATGTCTCTGAAAATACATGTAATAAAAATACGATGTAATAATGTCGAAAATATAGGAAAATACGGTTTTTCGATGTAACTAGCTTTTTCTGCTTTGATTCAACTTTATCTTTGAAAAAAAAAGAGAAAAAGCTAATATATTTGTTATGAAACACATCGTCATAGAATTTATAAATAAAAATAGGCATATTAGCATTTTCAGGAGGAAATTTTTTCCAATAAATTGGTAGCATTTTTTAAAATTTTGGTTAATTTTGAATTGCTTTGTACATGCACTTATAGCCAAATACAAGTACGCTCAAACCGGCTCACTACCTATGCACATACATGCATGCATAATGAAAATGACAAAAAAATCACGTCGTATAAACGATGCACATATATATTCTCAACGGCTGATTACTTTTACGTTTTCAAAGACCGTCAAGTTCGCATTACTCGTTTCATTCTCTCTTTTCTTTGTCCTTTGCAGTATAAGCTCGCCCTCGCCGCGACACACACACACACACACACACACACACACACACACACACACACATGCAAGCACATGTTGTTGTGTACATACAATGTATATTACTCGCGCGCTGCGATTATGTTCTGCTTCGTGACGGCAATCAAGTGGATACGTATTTTTTTCGGGTTGGCTTGTAACGACTGCGGTGGAGATTATTCGTCACGACACTGCACGATAAGCTCTTTCCCTTTTTTTTATTTCTAATATAAAAGTTACCTTGAGCTGATACTACTTTGATGACAAAATGTTGAGCATTTTATATTGCGACCTATAAAGTATTTATATATTCTTCAAAAAGTTTGTATCACTACATAATTGGAAATTTTGGAATATTTCTTCAACTGTTCATAATAGTCAAAAATGATTTACTGAATTTTGAATTATTCATGTTCACTGATGTCTAATAATAATAATTATCAAAATTTGATTTGAAAAAAAAACTGTAATATTGTTTGTTGACTTGTCAGAATGTTCGATAAATGCGATTGCGATCGGATAATCTTGATGAAAGCGGGAGAAAATACAAAAGGAGCCAAATCTATATTGCTCAGAAGCACGTCTGACTGAGCAAACATTCTCGCAAACCATGTATGCGTATCGCAAGCTAACTTGCCATATTTAGTCAGAATAAATAAAGTATATAGACATTTTCCTTTCTTACCTATAAACTACTAGATTATATACCCTCATCGCGTGCGAATTTGTTTCAGACCCTCAATAAACCAAAAATACTTCGCATCAATAGATTATATATTAAATTGCTCTTCGATTCCGAACAATAGAGTCATTTTGAAGCATTACTCAATCCTATAATATTTAATTTAATTGATAAATATAACAAACGGAATAAAAAGAAACATTTTATTTTGTAGTACGATCAAACTTTCAAAAAGTTAATTTTTTTCTCTCTTTCTCTTATTTAGCTCTACAATATCACTGTAAATTTATGGACGTTTCAACTGTTAAGTAATACAGATGAATTCATTCAACGAGAAATAAAAATAACGAACGCATTGTCGAAAAACTTTTTAGTACGGCATAAGAATGAAAATTAAACTATTCAGTAGCTTGTTCTTTTGAAAGTGAGATAAGAGCGGAGTGGGTGAATTCTCTCCCTCTCTCGGCCTGCTGAAGCTGGGATGCAACTAATTTGGCAAATTGCGTCAAAATAGCGCCATATAATCAAAGTAAGCGACTGTAATCACCAACTTGAATGTACACGGGGGTAATATGTGTACGCGTCGTTAAGTGTGCGCGTCTACGTAAGCCCAGGTGAGACTTTGAAAACCGGTAGCTTTAAGCTGCAGGGAGAGACAGACTGACAGTCCAGACACAAAGATTCATCCCATCACTAGCATCATCATCATCATCGGAAGAAAAAGAGGGAGAAACGCTACTGCGACTATCTGCTTCCTAAAACAGAACCGAAAGGATTATGAGCCCATGCGAGGTCCCCGGGGCACTTTTCGCTCGCGCCATCTGTTTTTAGGTAAACAACGAGACGCGCTTTTTTGCACGGGGGAAATGGGAGGGGGGGTTAGAAAAGGCGCATAGATATCTCTATATTCACGTATATAGCTGCCAGTGGTACGCGCGCGGACTAGCCTCCAGACAGAATTCAATTTGCCTCGATGGAGCACGAGTATAAACAAACCCCTGCGATATAGCAGCCGCACGCGTCGAGGGCATCGAATATTTCGAGTGTATCCCGCGATATACCCACTTCTCTCTCTCTCTTTCTCTCTGTGCCGCGAATATAGATTTCACGTTTGGGAAACTCGCGATCGACGTTGTATGCGGAAAACACGATGCCAATGTTTTTCTTTATCGTATTTTATATTACCGGATTTTCTGAATTATTCAACTCGTGCGTCTGCGAGCGAGGTATAGACGTGGATCTTTCAGAGCGAGGAATCGCAGATATTTTCATTTCTTTTTATTGTTACGCAATTTTTGTGCTTCCCCAAACGATCGTATCGCCAACGAGATGAAGAAAACATGATACTAATCAGTACGAAATAATTTTTTTGTCATCTTCAATAATTTTACTTCAAATTTGTGTTAAATTTATCACAGCATTGGCAAATCGTGCTTGCAACATATAAGATGTACAAAGTTCATGGGAAAATGGTGCCCAATTGGGAGAATCGAGAAATACGCGTATTTTTTTCATATCTCTTCATGTATCGTACACAAGATCCCCCAATTGACACAAGTTTTTTTTGTAAGAATCGGTACAACAATCCTGGGTAGCATACAGACACACGTGCTCGCGATCATCTGTCCGCGCGCGGGACACGGCATCGTCAAGTCCGCCGAAGGCTGCTGCAACAGTTCTTTCACAATAAGATCGATGAGCTCTCGCGTACTCAGTGTCAGTGGTCATAATTGAATGAGTAGCGACGCTCGAGTCTTGGTCCCCTCTCGCTATTCTGTTTCTCTGTCAGCACTTATTTGCCTGTAGGCATAAACGCCTACGGGTAGCCTCTCTCTCTCTCTCTCTCTCTCTCTGTACCTATAAAGAACGCCTCTTCTTTTTTCGGGTGATCTCTTTACCTTTAACCACGCCGGCACAATGTAAATTCGCCGCCTTTCGTTAATTATCCTCGTATTTATGCACGTGGGTCATTAATACACCATTAATAATACATCGTAAGGAAAAATTAATCAATTTCAAAGCTTTAGACAAACTTTGAACTCGGACTTTAAACTCGCCGTCGTCTAGTGGCACGCGAGCCATTTAACAGTAGTATCACTTTTATAAATATTATACAGCTTTGTCTGTTGATTTTTTTTTTCTTCTTTTTTTTGCGAGAATGCAGCAGGTTACAAATAGACGAGAGCACGTCTGCGCGTTTGCACGAGTTCGCGAGCGGGACAGAAGAAAATCTGCAGTCTCTTTGACAAGCTCATGTATACTGTTATCTTGACCCAGTATATTTCTAGTTGACGTTCTATTTTTGAAGTAAAAGTCACCAGAGCCCGGCGCACGTCTAGATTCATCAGAGAGCTGCAAAGCTGTATGCAGCGCGCACATACACGTACGCTCGTCAACGAGTACACATGCAACTTTGAAAAATTATTCTCTATACATCGAGGGAGGGATGCCTTTGATACGTGTACAGGCTTTAATGAAAACTTTTACTCTTGGAAACCTGGTTTATATACTTATACACGTGTGCATTCATAGGAGCCGCTAAGCCGCTGCGCTGCAGCTAGCTGAAAGAGAATAGGTGAGCTACTTTTTTTTCTCTCTCTCTGCCCGACACGATACGACCGCAACACAACCCAACACACACACACACACACACACAAACTCGCGCACGCAAGCTAGAAATTCCGAAAGCTAGTCCAACGACTGGCTTGCATATTATACATAGGGGACCGTTGTGCTTCTTCCGCATATAGATATGTGTGCGAGAGGCCGAACACGACGGCTCGTGCTGCGATTAGTTTGTAAACAGATAATTATCAGCGTGTCATCTGCGAAAGTCATTTTGAGACATCCGCAGCGTGGCAACTAAGTCGACGAACCATGTATGCACACACGTTGGCGGAATTTTCATGTTTTTTGTCGACAATTTGAAAACGTTTAAAACTAAAAGCTTCGCTCGAATACTGTAATCAGAAAGAAACGAAAAACTATCTCCACTCTTTCTCTCGCTCCCACTCTCTTTCCCAAAAAATGGATGGCACACACACATACATCGTTATTTGCTAAATCCTAGTATTTAAGTGCTCTCGGACTTTCCAAGAAAGACAATCGGCCCTCCTAAAACGCTTAACGACCTCTCCGCTCTCTTTCTTTCTATCCGCGTTCTCTCGGAGCAATCCCAAGACGAACCGTTGCTATACAATGTGCAAAGGTCGATCGTCGACTCACCGCGCCGA